AGACTTAGCTACGTAATGTTGACAAATGCTAGACCTAGATATGCACTGCTGACAAATGCTATGTACTGTTCTAAATGTTAAGACTTAGGTATGCACTGCTGACAAATGCTAGACTTAGCTGTTTACAGTTGATAAATGCTAGACCTAGCTATGTAATGTTGACAAATTCTAGACTTAGCTGTGTCCTGTTGACAAATACTAGATCTAGCTATGTACTGTTGACAAATGTATGTAATGTTGACAAATTATAGACTTTGTTATATACTGTTGACAAATGTTAGACTTAGCTGTGTACTGTTGACAAATGTTAGACTTAGATATGTACTGCTGACAAATGCTAGACTTAGATATGTACTGCTGACAAAGCAAGACTTAGCTATGTGCTGTTGACAAATGTTAGACTTAGCTATGTACTGTTGACAATTGCTAGACCTAGCTATGTACTGTTGACAAATGTTAGACTTAGCTATGTACTGTTGACAATTGCTAGACCTAGCTATGTACTGTTGACAAATTTATGTAATGTTGACAAATTATAGACTTTGTTATGTACTGTTGACAAATGTTAGACTTAGCTGTGTACTGTTGACAAATGCTAGACTTAGATATGTACTGTTGACAAAGCAAGACCTTCTATGTGCTGTTGACAAATGTTAGACTTAGCTATGTACTGTTGACAATTGCTAGACCTAGCTATGTACTGTTGACAAATGCTAGACCTAGCTGTGTTATGTTTACATATGCTACTCTTTCCTGTGTACAGTTGACACATGCTAGACCTAGCTACGTAATGTTGTCAAATTGTAGACTTTGCTATGTACTGTTGACAATTGCTAGACTTAGCTATGTACTTCTCACAAATGCTAGACCTAGGTATGTATTGTGCAAATATTAAGTAAAAACACCAGCAATAGTTAAAGACAACAAACACATCGCCAAGCTTTTCCTTCTTCAAATCCCTCCAAAGGCGTGCACGTCGCGGAGAAGGCACACGGCAGGTCAAGGTCAAGTCATCTTAAGTGCCAGAGGTGATTGGTTGACCTGTCGTGACTAACTCTGGAGGGTTGGCGCTAATGAGAGCCGTTTTTGTTATCGTCAGTAAGGAACATGATGCCTGGACAGTATTGTCGTCTCCTCTACCACCAACAAACGAAGAATGGGAATATCAGGAAGACTCAGCTTGACAAAGACGTCCCCGATGAGACTACCTTAGTGAACCGGCAAGGATGCTAAATTCTCGGACATATGGTTATTCCGGCGCCGAGTATAAATAAACTTATAACTGACTGACTGCCAAGCTTTTATTAGTGGCAGTTGCTTAATCTTTATACAAAGGCCTGACTTCTTGTCTTTCCATTTATAGATTATTAAAGTCTGTTTCCTATGGTGACATATTTCTGCCCTCAGATAACCATATAACTAACTAGTTAATTAAGAGGTTAACTAGTTACGTAACTAGTGAACCTCTTAATATAAAGCTAGTAAAATAATAAAAGGATGGCAGTTGTTGGCACTTACAAGCATTTATTTCCCGTTATGATCTTTTTTATTGAAAAAATAACTAGTTATGTAACTAGGTAATCACATAACAAACTAGTTAATTAAGAGGTTAACTAGTTACGTAACTAGATATCCTCTTAATCAACTTGTTAGTTATATGGTTATCTGGAGGCAGAAATGTGCCGCCATAGTTTTACCTTTATTTACTTGTTATTGATGTTGATAGTGCTCTTAATGCTTTATTTATGTAATTTAATGATTATGAAATGGGAACATTAATATTCATCACATGATTGCATTCGTAGTTGTAGCTACAATTTATATGTAAAATAGATTATAATTAATGTAAACATAAGAAATCGGTTAATTATTAACCGAACGTAATTATGTTACTGTTGCCACATTAAAGGTGAATATTGATCAATTAAAATATACTTCTATCCACTCATCTTACATAAAAAGCTTTGACATGTTATCTTTATGGTTGGCTTCATGTCTATTTCGAGACAGTTGTGAGTGTTCCATACGAAAGTTTAGAGGAGGATGTGGGTAATATTTATAAATTAGAATCTTTAATGAATAGCTCTCATCATTCAACTTTATTAAAACTTGCATTATTCTGCAAAATTATTATTTCAAAATTAAAATAACTCATTCTTCTGCATGGCATGATTTTCTCAACATGTATGAGTTTATTAACATATAAACAATTTAGATAACATCTGTGTAAGACAAATCATGTCCAAAGAGTAAAGTTTAGTCAAATACTGACATGTGTTACTTATTCAAAATGATCTCATTATTATATAATTTTACGAATATATCTTTTGTTAATCACTTTTGAATTGACTGTTCATTATATTGTTGATCTATCATAACCTTATGCAATATATATATACCATGGTTTTGAATAAACCTTGAAATACTGTGTTTCGTTTTGTATTTAGTGCACACAAGTTAACTCTTTACCACGAGGCGTAACAAAAGTATCTATGAAAGTAGTTTTAATTATTATAAAACAAGCATATGGTGTGATTTATGGAAACGATTTATTCAAAAGACGCAATAAATTGAGATAAATTTAGAATAAAAGTACATACATGTAGCACTTAAGGTTTAGTACATACATGTAGCACTTAAGGTTTAGTACATACATGTAGCATAATAAGGTTTATTATATAGTTTTGACATATTTATCTTTGATCGATTGCAAAACAGGTTATTGCAACTTATATTAATCACTTTCGAGTCCTCTTCCTGGAACCAACCAGTACTGGTGTCAAATGAAGAAACATGGTCGTGACCCGAGGAGGTTTTATATTTTTCAAGCGGAAGACCGAGGCATGTAAGAACCTGCGTGTTGTGTACCATGGTACATAGGCGAGATCTTAGTGCTTAAACAACATTTCAACAAAATGTAAAATTGTTTGTAAAATGTGGGTTTTGTAAAATCATACTATACTAGATATTAGAGGTCCGATCAAATGACAATCCTTGAATTATATCAGTTGGCATATCATTAATAATAATTAATATTATTTATAATAAGAAGTAGCTTTAAAAACGATACTCGGCCTAGAAAGTAAAACTGGTTAACTTATGTCATTTCTAAGTTTCTCATACATATAGAAATATAACCAATACTTGCATAACTATCTTGTAAGGTTTATTATCTTCAAATATGTATCACTGTATCCTAAATGAATCTGTCTTATTTCGGTAAGTGAGCACTAAAATCTACGCAGTTGGTAGGCAATTAAATTTATAAATACTTGATTGGTATCCAAAATAGATGAAAATTATAAACATTATATCAATTAAACAAATCAATGATCATGTAATTTATCAAACACTTATTGAACATCATAAACTGAAGATACCTGATAATCTAGACTTTTTTGGTGTGTTTTTCGATATTTTCATGTACATGAGTAATCGTGAACGTTATTAGTTGTCTCGTTATTTTAAACAAAATTTATAACTCAGTAAGTTTTTGTGTAAAATAAAGTGTTCAGTAGAAAATGTAATGGCATCTAAAAGCAGATTAAGATGTTTTGTAGGAGGTAGTATGGTTAAACAGCGCAATTTAGCTAAAGGATTAAAAAACTACCTTGTATATTTTATTTTAGAACTATCATTTACATTTTTTTAGAACTATCCATAAACTTGTATTTTAGAATGACGTTTATATTATCCCCCGCCGATGGAATCGGGAGGGGGATATAGTTTTGGCGTTGTCCGTCCGTCCTTCCGTCCTTCCGTCCATCCGTCCGTCCGAATTTCGTTTCCGGAGTAGTTCTCTGCAACTAGTGGCTGGAATTCAACGAAACTTTATGGGAATGTTGATCAGCATGTGAAGTTGTGCACCTGGGTATTTTCGTCAGGATATTTTTAGTATTTTAGAGTTATTGCCCTTGACTCAGTAAAATTTTGTCCGAATTTCGTTTCCGGAGTAGTTCTCTGCAACTAATGGCTGGAATTCAACGAAACTTTATGGGAATGTTGATCAGCATGTGCAGTTGTGCACCTGGGTATTTTCGTCTGGATATTTTTAGTATTTTTAGAGTTATTGCCCTTGACTTAGTAAAATTTTGTAATTTTCAACTTGTGTCGCATGTAACTCAAAAAGTATTTGACCTAGAGTCATGAAACTTTACAGGAATGTTGATCAGTATGTGTAGTTGTGCACCTGGGTATTTTCGTCAGGATATATTTAGTGTTTTTAGAGTTATTGCCCTTGACTCAGTAAAATTTTGTCCGAATTTCGTTTCCGGAGTAGTTCTCTGCAACTAATGGCTGGAATTCAACGAAACTTTATGGGAATGTTGATCAGCATGTGCAGTTGTGCACCTGGGTATTTTCGTCTGGATATTTTTAGTATTTTTAGAGTTATTGCCCTTGACTTAGTAAAATTTTGTAATTTTCAACTTGTGTCGCATGTAACTCAAAAAGTATTTTACCTAGAGTCATGAAACTTTACAGGAATGTTGATCAGTATGTGTAGTTGTGCACCTGGGTATTTTCGTCTGGATATTTTTAGTATTTTTAGAGTTATTGCCCTTGACTTAGTAAAATTTTGTAATTTTCAATCACAATCATCAGTCACACGGTGCCAGAAAAGGAGTTTCAAAAATGCAAAATTAAAAAATCTTGTCTGACAGTACAAGGCCTAGAGCTTTGATATTTGGTATATGATATAACATATAGGTCCTCTGCCAAAATTGTTCAAATTTTAGCCCTGGGGTCAAAATTGGCCCCACTCCAGGGGGTCATAGATTTTCCTTATATGTATATAGTAAAAACTTAAAAACTCTTCTTGTTTGAAGGTACAAGGCTTCAAGTTCAAAGAATTTTACAGTTTATGCCATGATTAATATATAAATAAAGCCTTATGTCTTCAGTTGTTGTGTTAATAATAACCAGTACTCGGCGGGGGATATAAATTCAACGAATTTGCTTGTTTTATGTAAGAATGGTCAATGAGATTCCGAGATTTCAGTTTTTAGTTGGGACGTAGTCCCAACTAGTGCACTTACAAACCCGAAATTTCCAACCATACAGGGTAACGCCCACTGCTGTGACGTTTCATCGCCACTCTAAATGCTATATTGTATTCTAACATATCAACGTAAGCTGAATTCATAGTGATCACCCGACCATGACCGACGCATAACCGCCGCGAGTGAAAAATAGTGCTCTGAATTTCTGAAAACTTCGATTTATTGCGAACAGAAGTGGAGACAAGAAATTTATTTTTTGAAAATAATGTGCAATTGAACTTGAATTACGGTATTAGAAACGTAGCGGATATAATTTGAAAGGTCACATAATTCTATGAATGGGATAGTAAATTAATTGGGTCATAGTGCTTGACGGCTTGCAATATTTAACTTACTCATCCGCCTTAACATCACATTTTTTTGTATTATATTCCAGAATTTTTGAAAAAGACATTATTTATCGGATAAATGTTGTAGTTTATAATTGCAAAGTGGATATTGAAATAGAATTAGCCAGAGATGTAGATAATCTATTCGTCTCTGAATTAGCCGATAATTAGGTTAAATGAATCCGACAACATCCGGTATATTTTTCGACCTACTTCACGAGCATAATTATCAGCCTGTTAAGCTCATAAGGTATGTTATAAAGCAAAATATGTTATGAATTTGATGACTAATAATATTAAGTTTATTTATTGATGCCAATTTGTTTCCGAAAACTAAAACTTTCGTAAATAATTTCGAAGTAATTTGGAGATCTCGAGTCTTTCGTACCCAAGACATTTCGATCATACTTAGACTGCAAAACCGACAGATTTTACAAATTGATATTACACAGGTGTCTGCCTTTACAGGAAACCGGCATATACGCCTACAATTTTTTGGTCTTGTCACGGCCGTTACGTCTCTACCAAATGGGGCACATTCTTGAATATTTCAGAATAATTTTATTTTGACCTTTATAAATTATTATATATATCTATTTAAAGTCTAGCCATTTCATTTTGGGTCATCTTTTTACAATTTGAATAATTATTCTGGAAAAACGAAGTGCGCAAATGATCTAAAGGTTTGTACAAAGATTAGTGTTCTAAACATTCATCAAATGGTACATTTATCTGGAAAAAATATTTCAGTCCCATCATGACAAAATACCTCAATGGAACCCCTTTAAATTGAATTACACTTTTTTTAAATGTATGGGTAAATTCCATTTTCAGTGGTTGAAATTTTTCCTCTTTTCTGATTAATCAAGCTATAGTTTCCCATTTATAAAGCCACAGGTTGTTTTGAAAGTTGAAAAAAAAATCACTGCCACCTTGATTAGAGCTGTCATCGATATCGACAATATCGATGTATCGTTGATATTTTTTTGTCGATCAATAATCGATACACATTTTAAAAAATCGATACTTTTGACTTATAAATTAAATGTCTAGAAATTATACAATTCACCCAAAATATATGCAGAAACAGTTATTTATATCTAATGTTATGCTTTTGTTATATAGTGGAATTATTTCATAGCAATGGTGACAAATAATATTGTCTGGAAAAAATCATGCAGTGGACAAGACACTGTACAGAACATGTTTTTGACTGAAATCATGGAAACAGGTATGAAAGTGAATGACAGACAAGTGAGTTTAGGATATTATCGATATATCGGTGTATCGTTGATTTTAGTCACTTGATATCGATATATCGTTGATGCTTTGCACAGAATCAATGACAGCTCTAACCTTGATAATTGTTAACCTGAAAAATCTTCAGGCACTTAAAGGGATTTGAACCCCAGACCTCTTGATTACAAGGCAGACACACAACCATGTCGCGAAAATGTCAACACAACAGCAAGACTGTTGGAAATGATCTATACCTGTTCTCAATACATGGTTGAAGTAATTTATCAGTGTTAATTAGACATTTTATATGATTTAACAATTTTTGACACTTACTGATATCTTCACATTTTTTTCACAAATCTACATGTAAAAAATAGATATCATAATAAAATGATAGAACATTTTCTATTTTAGTGGTAATACTGTGGAGTAATTATTTATGAAGAAATATTATTAATATTTTATTATCATATTTTTTCAAATTTTAATTATGTCATTACATGCTGTACACAATCATATTATAGTGTAAACATATATATACATTGTATAGACACATATATACATTGTATATACCAGAGACGTTAAAATACATAAAATGTATGTATATGTCTCTGTATATACACACACTAAGAGAGTAGTATTGGATGATTTTGAAAATGAAATCTCTAAATTGATATTTTCAGGGAAATAAAAGATTATTTACTTTAATATTCACTTGGAAAGGCTGGTACATGTAGCTAGAAAAAAGTACAGTATAAGATTAAAGAAAGACTAGAAGATTATTACAAACAACAGGTACTTATATAATATTTAATGTATATTTCACAAACCAAACTGTTTTCCAAAAAAAAATTAATGAAAACATGCATTTTTACCAGTGTCACCATGGGTCAGATTAACAGACCCATTCCCAGTGGCAAATACTGCCAAATATGCTTTTTTTCTTTTCCAAGTTTAGAAAAAAGTCATAAGTCAAAATTCCCGTTATCAAAGCTGACAATTTTTCTTCATTCCATTTCAATCCAATATGGTACCAGACAGATGATGTTCAAAAACACATTCCATTGTCAATTTTTTATGTATTTTTTATGCTTTGAATGATACACAATTTGTTGGATTAACAACTTTGTACATGGTACTAAATATTTTTCCCAATCAAGATGCAAACTTTCTTAACCCATTACTTCATGAGCATTTTGTGAAAAATTGCTGTTTTCATTGAAAAGTCTCCCGTTACAAGTTCAAATTGCTATAATACTATAAAAAACAGCTTCAACACTAATCAAACTTGGCACAAATGTTGACTGGACCATTGCCCTTGCAACAACATGCTCAGGCTTAAATTTTCTGTTACCATGGCAACGAAGGGACATCTCAAAATTGCCCAAAATTACTATTTTGCCTCGATTTTTTCAATCAAAATTGATTTCAAAGTGATGCCACTTCTCAATGGATTGAGATATAGTCAAATGCTTTTCAGCGTTGGTTACACGTTACCGTATGATCAATCTGGGGTCATTTACAGCCTCTCACAAGTCCAAAATTTTCTTGGCATAATGCTTAGAATGGTTTCACACAGGTCAGTAAGACCGGTGTACACAAATTACTGTCTGCACATATGTGTCAGAAAAAAATTCACAAAAAAGGAATTTAGTATTACTATGAGTATTTATTAAAGAAATTGTATTTCAAATATATTTAAATAGTATTATTGAAAGTCATTTTCTATGACAGACACACAAATCTAGTGCTCTGCATTATAAATGTAAGAAGAGACAAATAAGATAAGCATTTTTTTGCAAATTATTGCACTTCATATAATTTTTATTGCTTTTTTTTAAGGTGGACATGTGTCACTGTCAAGCGAATGAAGATAAGCATCACACTTGGTGGGAATCTCCAGTTTCCAGATGTAGTGATCATAACTGTATAGGCACCATTAACACTTTGGACTAGTTGGAGTATTTTAGAGGGCTAGTCTGAATTGAATCCCCTGTCAATAGTAAAGGCCAGTCATGAACATTGTGTTGAAGGAAAATGTTAAAACTCGGATTTTCCGCTTAACCAATCATTACTTTACCTTATATTCAGTGCGGTAATGTAGGAAATGGTTACTTTCTGGAACGGAGCTGTCAATTATTTTTAATTGTTTAGCTTGTTAGTGTTATCGTCGGACAGTTGTGAAGTAAAGACATCGCAGTTTGACTGTAAACTATACAAGTTGCCTTAAAGAAAGTATGTCGAAATCTTAACAGTTATTGGTTGATTTTGTAAAAATTGACCAGAATTCACCTTTGTTTACACGCATCGCTTGGACGTCAAAAACGACATGCAATGACATTTCAGTGAAATTTGGAAACTTGCTTGTATTTTGGAGCATTTTGTAGGATTTCGATGAAGTAAAAAGTGTTTATGATAGGATACATTATTCCTAGAGACAACCACAAAGATAAAATAGTGATCTGGTGTATTTTTACCGAACAGTTCTTGTTTGTTTTGCATGATATTTTTCTCTCTCGTTAGGGACCTTTATTCTTTATATATAGTATTATGAGCGTATATGGGTAAATGTGGTATATAGTGCCTGTGGTTTTAACATGTATCTTAGCTTGCCTGGTGTAATGATAAGTAATAAACCTGAGAATTGAAACTATGAGAATAAATTGTTGTTATTAGTCCCCTTCTATTTTCATTAAGAGGGGACTAAAGGCTGACCCATTTCTGTATGTCAATGAAAGCTGAATTTTGCTATAACTTAAATGGTACAAAAGTAAGGTTCATCATACTGGTATCTGATATAGAACTATACAGAGATTAAGCATGTTATTATAATTTATGCTCCTGAAAGGGAGAGAATATAGTTGCGGTCTTAACCATCTGTCGGTATGGACTCAAGTAATATTCTGGATAAATATCTGTGTTCATTCCATACAGACTTGTACTTTTGGGGAAAAGGTTCCTCATGGGAGGAAAATATGTTTTTAATGGTGTTTTTGAGATTTTAGTTGATAAAGGAAAAAAAACATAGTCTGTACTTAGGAAGACATTTGTCCTTCACACTCTTGTCCGAAATATGAATATAACTAGATATGTATTGAAGGGATTTTATGTAAACTTCACAAAGTGATAGAGACTTTTAAGAGGAAGTGCAATGTTCAAGAAACATAACTCTACCTTGCTTCATGTTTTAATTATATCCTTTAAGTTAAAAATGCTTATTCCAAACTATCAATGAATCTACATCAACTTGAACGACTCGAATTTTCCAATGTGTCAAAGAACCATAACTCCATTCCTTAGTTTTTAGCTCACCTGTCACAAAGTGACAGGTCAAGCTTTTGTGATCCCTTTTCGTCCGGCCGTAAACTTTTACTTTAAATGACATCTCCTCATAAACCACTACGCTAATTTCATCCAAACTTCACAAGAATGTTCCTTTGGCTGTCACCTTTAAAAATTGTGCAAAGAATTTAATTCCATGCTGAACTCTGGTTGCCATGGGAACCGAAAGAAAAAAACTTTAAATATCATCTTTAAAAAAACCCTAAGAGCTAGAGCTTAGATATTTGGCTCGAAACATCCTTTAGTGAGTGTCTACCAAGTTTTTTTAATTAAAAGCCCTGGGGTCAAAATTGGCCCGCCCCAGGGGTCATTGATTTTCCCTATGTGCATATAGTAAAAAACTTTATAAAATCTTCTTTTAAAGAACCCATAGAGCTAGAGCTAAGATATTAAGCATGAAACATCATCTAATGAGTGTTTACCAAGTTTGTTCAAATAAAAGGCCCAGGGTCAAAATTGGTCCTGCCCCAGTGGGTCATTAATTTTCTTTAAATGCATATAGTAAAAACTTTAAAAAATCTTCTTTTAAGGAACTAAAAGAGCTAGAGCTAAGATATTTAGCATGAAATATCTTCTAGTGAGTGTTTACAAAGATTGTTAAAATAAAAGCCCTGGGGTCAAAATTGGTCCTGCCCCAGGGGGTCATTAATTTTCTTTAAATGCAAATAGTAAAAACTTAAAAATCTTCTTTTAAAGAACCCAAAGAGCTAGAGCTAAGATATTTAGCATGAGCATCTTCTAATGAGTGTCTACCAAGTTTGTTCAAATAAAAGCCCTGGGGTCAAAATTGGCCCTGCCCCAGGGGATCATTGATTTTCCCTATATGCATATAGTAAAAACTTCAAAAATCTTTTTTAAAGAACCCAAATAGCTAGAGTTTATATTATAAGTGGAAACATCTTCTAGTGAGTGTCTACAAAGTTTGTTCAAATAAAAGCCCTGGGGTTAAAACTGGCCCTGCTCCAGGGTTGTCATCGTTTTTAACAGTATGTGTTAGTAAAAACTTAAAAAATCTTCTTTAAAAAAACCCAATAAACTAGAGCTTTGATGTTTAGCATGAATCATCTTCTTATGGATGTCTTCCAAGTTTGTTCAAATAAAAGCCCTTGGGTTAAAACTGGCCCTGCAGGGTGGGGGGGGGGTATATACAGGTGAGCAACCTCAGAGCCATCATGGCCCTCTTATTTAATTATCTACCTTTATTATACATGTACTTAATTATGCTTGTCCAGAGAAATACTGGAAAAGAGTTGATGAAATTTGATTAAACTTTTACACAGCGAAAATAATCAAGTGAAAGAAAGTGTTTTTTCAAAAGAACCTTAATTTTTGTGTCGCCTTGAAAAGGTGACAAAATAGGGGTTACTTTTGTCGGCGGCGTCTGTGTCGTTGTCGGCGTCCCCTAAAGCTTGTCCGGAGCATAACTCAGTCACTATAAGTCTGATTGACTTCAAACTTGGTATGCATGCTTCTTTTAATAACCCGAAGTGCAGTGCACAAGGACCGGTACTCTGCAGTTCTTATTTTTTGAGTTATTGCCCTTTGTTAATTTTCATACTTTAATTTTGTCCGGGCCATTTCTCTTCAACTAAAAAAGCTATGGACTTGATACTTCATAGGATGATAGATCTCATTAAGAAGAAGTGCAGTGCACAAGAACCAGTACTCTGTACTTCCTAATTTTTGAGTTATTGCCCTTTTTTAATTTTCATATTTTATTTTTGCAGTTCTTATTTTTTGAGTTATTGCCCTTTGTTTATTTTCATACTTTAATTTTGTCCGGGCCATTTCTCCTTAAGTATAAAAGCTATGGACTCGAAACTTCATAGGATGATAGATCTCATTAAGAAGTGCAGTGCACAAGAACTGGTACTCTGCATTTCTTATTTTTTGAGTTATTGCCCTTTGTTGATTTTCTTTCTTTATTTTTGTCCTGGTCATTTCTCCTCAAGTATGAAAGCTATGGACTTGAACCATCATAGTATGATAGATCTTATTGATAAGAAGTGCAGTGTTCAGAAACTGCTGCTCTGAACTTATTATTTTTTTAGTTACTGCCCTTTGTTATTTTTCATATTTCATTTTTGTCCTGGCCATTTCTCCTAAACTACATTGTTCACAAGGTGACACATCCGACTCGCGGAGTTCTAGTTTCTAGCTTAATTTTACAATTATCATCTCTTAAAATACATGTTCAACAACTTTTAAAATAATGGTTGTCTGGAGTAAATCTTTTCAATGATATCACACTCAAACTAAATACAGTTGTAGAGACTAGTGAGCAGAAGTCTTGTGTCAAATAACCAAAATTCTACATTACTTAGTTTTTGAATTATCTCCGTATATATTTCATGATACTGTTCTGAGAGAGGATTAAAATATTGAAGGAATTTGATTAAAACTTTATAAACGTTATACAGTGAAAGAGATTAGCATGAGAATTGCAGTAAACAAAGGCCATTATAAGTTCTAATGACAGGGTCACATTCATATAATGTGATGCAAAAAATATTGACCATTTGAGTGTTTACTTGATACCGATTCAGAAAATTTGATATATATCACAATTGATTATTTTTTCATATCTTTGTCTCCCTTTATAATGTCATGTATTAAAATAGTCAAGCTTGCTGTTTCCTCTGGTAGCTCTAATTTCACTTGTTGCTCTTGTCAAAAAAGGCCAATAACGGTTTATGATCGACCTACACGTACATGTAACCTAAATACTATATTTGAACATGTGTGTCATAGAATAATTGTATCAACTACTGTTCATTTACTGAATTTTGCACTTTATATTTATCAACCGGCAACACCCTTCACTCATTGAATTATCTGCCCCGAAATAGAAAAAATAGTTATTTGATCCTTCATACGTCCCAACTGCAGTGCCTTCAGCACTTTGATTTAATTTTAAAATGACCAAAACAAATTCTTTTTATATTCACTTCTTCTCTGTAAATTTTACAGGGAGTCAAACTGGTTTTAGACGGGCTTCGACCAAAAAAAGCCACGCTGACATAAGTAAAGAAGTAAAACATTCATGCAAGGTATTATAAAATGATATAAAATTTATGACGTTATTATATTTAGGGCCTTGAAAGTTGCGCAAAGCTACGAAATACTCAATTTACATAGACACAGTTATTGTACGTTAAAACAAGCGACATCGTAATGTGTGATGTTATTCGGTTATCATATACATGTATAATACATATTTCTATTACCATATCATTAGTCTACACTCATGCAGATAGCAGGTTTTATTACATGTATATTGTCTATATATATATATAATCATCTGATTACCTTTGGTCACTTTTTTTTGTCGGGAATTCCCGATGTTATTCACATATACAAAGTGCACCAAATTATACAAATATTGATATTGATACATATTGGACCTACTTTATCTGCTGTACCCTAACTTGAATCTCAAATGTCAAATAACTAGGACAGTAAACGTGTTTCTCTAAACCATTGCTATAATGATAGAATAGACGGAATGAATATAAAAAACGTTTGAAAATTTTATAACAAACAGAACTGTAAAATGACCACTAAAAGAAAATGAAATGTCCGAGACACTTCAAATTTTGTATGTAGATACACCTTGGTGCGCTGTAACTGCCGTTTTCATTATAGGTCATAAGTTCAAAGTTCAAGGTCATTTTGTTCCATTTTCGAGGTGAAATTCATATTGTACTCCACCTAGGCTTATTATAAAAGGCCCATATCCCATACGTATTGTACTCAGGAGATAATTTCCGTACACATAATATAAATTGTACTACTAAAAAAACACTTCTAACAAAAGAAGTGTAAAATTAAAAACTGGTGGTTTGAAATAAAGAGTTTTTTTTATACATCGTTAAGTTTATAACTGTTTCTATTTGACTCGTACACAGCTACAAGTTATAACCTTATAGTATTAAAGTTTGTAAAATACCCAATATACACAATACAATTTTTCTCGTTTTCAAGATACGAGTACATGTATATACATAACGTTTGTTTAACCAGATAGGTCAGAAAATATATAATTTTCAATGTGAGAAAAACAATGGAAATATGAAAGAATAATGTTATTATTATTTTACGGTATACTTTCCCAAATTTTATTTGTTCTTTCTTTTCTATTTTTTCTTGTTGTTGTTGTTGTTGTTGTTGTTATGTGTGTGTTTTAGTATTCTTTAGTGCTGGGATACTATAGGTTGATCTACACTGTCATTACAATGTGAAAGTTCACGGTTATTAAAGCTATCGGTGGGATTCACACCATATAATCCAAGTCAAGAGTAGCTGTTAACAAAAATTACAACTACAGTTTCATGAATAATGAATAGGTTAAATTCCCAGCTATTGTAATCAAATAGAAAACTTAACGTATAATTTAGTTGTGATTTCTCTTTTTTCTCTCGCAGTATTATACTCTATACAAATCAAGTGAATTCAGGGTACAAAATATGTAATAGAAAGAGCACCGAAACACGAGGCTATCTGATTTGTACGAGGGGGCGTAGCCCCCGAGTATTAATCAGATTGCCGAGTGTTTTGGTGTTCTTTCTCTTTTGTATCATAGTCAAACATAAAAGCACGTTCCCTGTTGTCACAATATGAAACCCCGGCAAAAATGAACCAATGAACGAACATCTGAATATGACATGTCTGTCGCTTTCCCTTTCTCTGCCGTCACAATATGTAAACCCCAGGAAAATTGAACCAATCAATGGGCATGATCTGGAGTGCGGGTAACTGATACCTGCACTCCAGTTACCGCACTGTGCATGTATATGTATACGATTTAACTCTGACACATTTTCAACAGAAAGGTCCCCAAACTATGATACAAGCACTTATGTACAGCATTTATAGGTCGATTACTTGGAGATGCATGTATGCATTTTGTAAAAGTTATAACAAACTAGGCGCCAGGTAAGTAATCTTCTTGATTTAACAAAAAATATTGTAAGGTATTTGAGTAGTGTTATCTTCGGCGCAAATATGATTTAATTTCATAGTGTATTAATGCACATTTTTCATGCATTAACATCTGCATGAATACAAAAACGCATTGAAAAGGCCGATATACTAATAACGAAAGACAGATTTGTCGCTGATATGCAAGAAAAGTTGTAATGCACACTTTTGTCGTGCATTTACATCTGCAGAATCACTATATCCCCGTCTTTCTGCAGATGCTTATCCACAAAAAAGTTGCATTACCCTTCTCGTGAAATTGCGATT